TATCGTCGTCAAATATTCTTGAGGAGGGAGAGGATGAAGCCAGCTCACCGTCTGACCAGGAGCCATCGCGAAGCCCGACTCGAGTTTGCAAGAGAAATTTTTTTCAAGAAACTGGAGAAAAGTGAGGGTTTTGACTCATTTTAGAAAGTGCATTGCTAAGCTCCTAAAAGGTTTAGGTGATTTTTTCCGATGAAAGAAATACAGTCTGGATGGTTCTGACGGGCATGTTTATTACTGGAGGGATCTACGAAAGGAGCCTAGGAGTTTTGCGAAACGTGTAATCGGCGGAGGAACTGTTATGGTATGGGCGGCCTTCTCTTCCTATGGAACGCAGGAGATGGAATTCATTTCCACGCACATGAATTCGCAAGAGCATCAAGATATTCTTCAGCGCAGTTTGCTTCCTTACCTCCACGATCATAGGCGGAAAAGACTCGTTTTCCAACAGGATAACGCTCCTGCGCACGTCTCGCGTTCAACTTTGGAGTGGCTAGGGGATCACCATGTGGATGTATTGGACTGGCCTCCATGCTCCCCGGACCTAAATCCCATAGAGAATCTCTGGGGTTTCTTGGTGCGCAGGGTCTTTGCCGGGGGTCCAGTATGACAGTGTTTCTTCGCTGAGAGCAGCCATTCTAAGTGCATGGAACTCAATTCCAGAAAATGTAATTCAAAATCTCGTTGACAGTATGCCAAATAGAATCCTCGAAGTTATTCGTAAAGTAGGTGGTCCAAGTAAGTATTAATGTTTTACCAATTGTGCTTTTTTTCTGTTTTTTTCATTTTGTGTCGAAGTATGGCATATAATTTTGACGCGGCACATTTATTAAAATGAACTGTAAAAATGAAGCTGTTTCTCTGAACAGGGGTATGTCTCGTATATGTGAGTCTCTGACACAGTCCATTGTAGTGCAGTATGTCACATGTGACAGAAGTGGGTAGGAACCGAGATAACAGGAAAATGTGGGGGTAGCATAAGCAATTGACGCGCACTGTAGTGTCAGTGAGTGATACAGGGTGAGATGAATTGCAGACAAGGATTTACAGAAAATAATCACAGCTGATCAAGGCTACTGAGTGATTTAAATCTTTCGGTGAAAACAATGTAGTCTTGCGTGCATTCTGATATGTTTTACAGGATGAGAGGGAAATGATAGAGTAGGATGACGAAAAATGAGGGGTAAGTGCAGTGAAAAAGGCCGATAAAGGCCAGTACCACATGAGTAGAACGAAGTTTGGATCATGCATTTTTACTGGATTACAACGACAATAATGCGATGAACTCGGCCAAAGATTTGTATTCACGAAGATAAAAAGGGCTATGAATATGGACTTCTGATTGTGGTGCTACTATCATTTGACAACACTATTCGCTTTCAGAGTATACGGGAAGATTCCGTTATCGACAAGACCGCTGAAGAATATAATCAGGTTGTCGAATATTTACATGATAGTGCTGTAGTCACGGAACATTAAACACACTTTGGAGGCCAAAAAAAAAAGGTCATTCACGATTTCAACTAGGATCTCTTCGACAGCCGGGTCTACCTGCCAGCCTACAGAATTATGCGGGATGGATATGTCGTTCCTCTTCTCCCTTCCAAAGCTCGACATGCCATCACCGTCGATGAAGAGTTGTATAGTGACAGAATTAAATTAGAACGCCTAAAGAATCTTACGCCAGCTTCGTCAGAACCTTGATTCCGCTTTCATTTGTGGGACTGCGAAGGGCCCACATTGTTGAAAATTAGCAGGAGCAGCAGCGAATTATTGGATCTAAACCTAGACGATATTGGCAAATATTGGCAAAAATCTCATAATTTCGTTTGAAAGTTTCTCAGATAGGATCAAAATCCGAAGCTCTATTTAAAATTGCTCTAGATTGGGAAACGTGGTTGGGTGGACGCAAACAGTTTATAGTGGCGGAGCAAAGGTCGAAAATTCACAGCTCCTCTGAAGGACGCGTAATGTTCCAGAATCTTTTTGCATATTTGGTCGTCGTCATTACTTATGATCTACGAAATCATCGTAAGTCCTTACTTTTCTGGAGAATTTGTTTCATTCTGTCTGTCTGTCTGTCACGAAATTCGATATTACCGAAAAAGCACGTGAAGAGATCGAGTGTCGTTTGAAGGCTCGGGTCTGAGGCAAGATTAACACAGCACCTATGAGCTCACGGCCGTTCTGTTATCAGTGGGCAAACATGCTCTGAAATAGATAGTGCAAACAGAGAAGTTAATAATTTGGTTTTGGAAAAGCAGGCACTGGGGAAAATCAACATAGGTTAGGAATGTGTCGAGGGATCATACAAAGGAGTCTAGTCCTCGATAGGCCGTGTCCGTCGGGCTCTCGAAGTACTATTCACATAAAATCACAACCAACCTTAGCCTATGGCCAGATCCTTAAGCGGTGGAGCCCAGATCCGAAAGCTCACAACCGTATTTTATACGTACTTTGCTGTGACGCATCAGCTCGATCCGGAGTACAATTGTTTGTATCATATGTCCTACGATAGGCCTGTGGCCTAAACCTACACCCTGGAAAAATGCAGGGCGAGTATTTTGGCAAGCTGCCCACTGTTTGAATCCAGTTTGTTGCGGGACCCACGCCATCATCCCTTTACTGTACCTTCGTTCTGGCGTTTTGTTTCAATTGCTGTTGGCGGTTCTCTAGAACTCGGCATTGCAAAAACGTGCTAATGCCTACTTTTCGCCTTCTCTTGTTCTTCATCGCTGTTTTCGTATGCTTTCCTTTTCCATACTATTATTTCAGAATTGCATTTACGTATGCGTGTTTTTGGTTAAGTTTTTAATCGTTTTTATCGCTACGTCATTATCGTCAAATTCGCTATTGTCCACAATTCATGCGATTTCCTTAGCGTGAGTTTTCATGATGATTATTGTGATGACAACTCGCTCTCCCTCAATTTACAAAATACGCATAGACGGATTCGAATATAGTGGGAGGAGATCAAACTATGATGACCTATAAGCTTCAGAATACCTGACCTTGCCTATTCAAGCCGGGATTAAGCTTGACTAGAAGATGGTTACCAAGTTCAATTAGGGAAGAGCTGAGCTTCTAATCTTCATGTCAGACGGTCGAAAGCAGTGCGTTCCGACCGTGGCGCACTGGTACAATAGGGAGTGCGTGATAAATAAATAAGATTTATGGTCGATGTTCCACTAAATGATTGCGTGAAGATACAATGCAACGTTCCAGAGCTACACTTCAAAGTTAATGCTCTGGTCAAGCGAGAATATGACGGAGCTATCGCAATTCTCACTTCAGTCGCAGAGAGGATGCGCATTATAACCGACGTTGACATTGGTGCACCTCCAGGAACAAATGTTATACTATCTAGACCTGATGTGAGCGGTGGCAAACGATAAATGCACGAAGCCGATTTCCATATGGTGAGGGGTATTTTTCTTTCATACATACTATTGATAGAGTGGATTATTATTATTGTTGCCTATACTGCTATTATTCAGAGGGTCAGAATTCTTAGAGAAATGAGGAGCAAAACTCAGACACTAGAGGAAATACACGTCCATCCCGACCGTATTTTATTTTGCTCTACTTGTTTCTAAAAGTTCCTGCTCTCCCTGCAGGCATGGATTCAGAAAAGCCAGGGGAACTCAATGGATGAGATCACAGAATGTCGCATTTGGGCCCATGAAATATGTGCTCGTAGTGTACAATTCCGAAGCTGCAGAGCTCGAATGAAGGATAAGTACAGTATTTCCTGTTTACGGATGATTACCTTAGTAAGTTGACATGATACAATGGATTCAATAGATTACGTTAAAGAATGTTAAATGATTGTATGTTCTCATCATTTTGATGGTAATGAAATTGTAAAATTATTGTGATGTTGAAGGCAGAGTTCACGATAACTTTGGGGTATCCGTTTTTTCACGAAATGTGGCAGATATCAAACTGAATCATTCTGCAGAATCAATTCGCCTGGGCTAAAAGGTAAATAAATTTGGTTATATTCATGTTTTTAATGCAAAATATTCTTCTATATGCTTATGTTTCGTTGAACTGCGTTATTCTATGAATTTCATGCCAGTATTTTCTATTGTTTTTTATTTGCAATGTATGTTCTTCATTTGGGTCATTGATGTGTTCTTGTACTATGTCAAGAACACTCTTTGACCTTCTTTTGAAGAACTGTGTTCAATTAGAATTTGGTATTAGCATGCCAACCCCCCTCTTCCCCGCATCCCCCTGAAAATGTGAGTGTGGTTTCTTTTTAAAAATTTCATGCGTTACTATAGTTGATTTGAACTTCTCCACCTATATATTCGTAGATATTACCTTGTATAATGTTGTTATCATGCACTCATTATGTTTTGCGCAGGAGATGTATTTATTAACACATTGATATTGCAAGTGTAACTAGGAAAACACAAGCCTTTCAAAAAAAATTCATTCAAAAATTAGATATAACTAAAATTAGCAATAAAACAATAACACCAACAATTAATACTATTAAAAATTATGATTTGATGCAGGGCATTGAAAATAAAACCGTAAACGTTAATAGAAATGAGGAAGATAAGTGAATTTAAAGGCACAGTTCATGATAAATTTCATGGTAACATAACACGAAATAGATATTCGAACGAAGCTTCAATAGTTGCAATGGCGCTAAGTGCTGACCATATCTAGCCGAAACTGAACAGCGCCAAATAATTTATACGGCTGGCCCTCAAATTTGCGTTACGGGATATGTTATACGTCCAATTTCTCGTGAACTGTGTCTTTGAAGTAAGTGTGACCACAAGATTAGGAACATTTTACAAAGAAAACAAAGGTAGATGCTGAAGTGTGAAAGTGAGACAACATAAATATATGAAGTGAATATATGTGTATATAAAGCAATTATGTTATAAACTAAAACAAAACAAAGCCATATATACAGATATAGATATACTGAAAGATAAAAGAAAGCGCAGTCGCAGTCGATACTACATGGTGGAGTGGACGTAGATGGGATGGTTACGACGGAGTGGAATGACGAGGAAGGCCACGGATCTGTAATCCAAATAATCTATTACACAATAAAAGTTCGAAAACATAGTTGGTTTGAAATATCTGCAAAAAAGCGTTAAAATCGACTACTTGGTCTCGTAAAGGATGGTTAATAAGGGCGTTTTTCTAATAGCTTGATAATCAGATGTCAAGCAATCAAGGGATCCCTTGCCCTGTAGTTATGGATGATCCTGACCCGGAAGTTGTTCAGCGCCTTCGTAAAAGGGATGAGGAAAAGTTGGCGCGTAAACGGGCCAGGATCGGTTAGCCTTTTACAACCGAAATGTACAAAAGCATCAGGTTACAAAGATTGCATCCTGTTTAGATATTGTCTGTTGCTCTCGGAGGAGATGCAACCTTCAAGGATAGACACAACCGAATTGTGCTTTGGCTCATGCGTACCATGTTCTACGGTACGCGAGAGGGGGCCTCGAGAGCAGTGGAAGTGGTGGACAGGCAGTCTACGAAAAAGAAGCCGTGAGGGGGTTGCGCCGTAAGCTCAATGAATGTGAACACTGCATTGTTCACCACCCCTTCTTTCGTAAAATAGCTTCCGATCGAGAGGTACCTCTAACGTTGTTTGTGAGTAACAACGTCTAATTCCACTATGTATAGTCGAGCCAGGTACTGCGCATAATGCTAGAGCAAATGAGGTTTGAGAAGAAGAAGTACAAGCGGCATGTGGAAGATGAAAATAAGTAAGTTACCATCACGTCCTGTGGCTGATTTCGAGTCGCCTGAAACAAAACCGCTGCGAAGTAATTGGCTTGGGAAGAATTCGCCACGGACAAGTCATGGTGATCTCTCGATTTGGAAAAGACGGAGCTCCTTTACTTTTCTTCCTTCCTCTTCTTGTCCTTCCTTGCTTCCTAATTCCTTCCCAATTCTCGGTCTTCCTCAATCTCCTTTCTTCTTTCTCTGTTCTCTTCCTTCCCACTTCTTAGAGTTCCACCTTCTTAATCCCTTTTACTTCTTTCTTTCTTCTTTCTTCTTCCTTTTTCTTCCTTCTTTTCACTTCTTACGTTTAATTGTTTTTTCATTCTTCACTCTTCCTTCTTGTTCCTTCCTTTTTTCTCTCTTCTTCCTTTCTCTACAGTCTTCTGACCCATTTGCTCTACTCATTTTTCTTCTTTCTTCGTCTTTCCCTATTTCTACATATTCTTTTTTGTTCTTCGTTCTTATTGCTTCTTCTCCTTCTTGTCCCTTCTTCATTTTACATCTTTTCTTCTTGCCCCTCCTCCTTCCTGTCTAATCTTTTTCTTCCTTCTTCCCTCTCTTTCTCCTTCTTTGTCCTTCCATTTTTCCTCCGTCTTCTCGTTTCTTCTGACTTTTCCTTCTTCATAACAAGTTCCCACTTTATATTATTCTCTCTTCTTCTTCGTTCTTCTTTTCCTTTTCATGTTCTTAAACTCCTGTTTTCCTCCTTTTGCTTCACATTCTTATCCTATTTCTTTCCTCATCTTTCCTCATTCTTGCTCTTCCTCTTCTCTTTTCCTTCCTTTCTCTTCCTTCTTCTTGTTTGCTCCTAGTTCCTCGTTCGTTGTTCTTGTCCCTCCTCGTTTTGTCTTTCATATTCATCTTCTTTTACCTTCTTTCTTTTCACTTTATTCTCCTTTCATTTTTTTTCTTCTTCTTATTCTTCCTTCATCTTGGTACTTCTTGATTGATCCTCGTCTCTTCTTCTTTATTAGTCATCTTTTTGTAATTTTCCTCATTCCTCGTTTTCCTTCGTACTTCTTCGCTCTTCTTCACACCTCTTCATCTTTCATCTTCATCTTTCGCCCTCTTTCTCCTTTTTCTACTTTGTTCTTTCTTCCAGACTATTGCAGCGCTGCTCCTGTACTTCCTTTTAGAGAAGGTTCTTTTGTCTGACCTCCTTGACGTCCTCGCTTCCAAACCCGGTACATACGCGTTCAAAAACAGACCCATTTGAAACATTCATTTCCGCAGAATAACTTTCAATTCCATGCTTCATGAAGGCTTCCACTGCCACAGGAATCTCTAGTCTCCCCGCAATCTATCTAATACACCCTTCGTTTAACCGCTCATGAGCACCGTCGATGGAAAAGTATACCAGAGTATTCCTTCCTCCATGCACGCCGCATTCATTCGACTCTTCACGTCCTGATTTACGCTGCGGTTGACGTCTATATCATTCCTTAGGTGTCGAATACTCCTGTAGAAACCAAGGAATAAAGATTTCTCCACGTCTAATCGAATTAAATCTCAGAGGGCGAAAATTCTGTTTGAGAGGGGGACGGCCTCCAGTCCATCGGCGAGCTTCTTTGCAAATACTTCCATTATTGTTTGATATTATTTGATCGATACCAAGTTAATGATTGTTTTTGACAATACTAGGTTGATGCATAATTATAGTGAGTTTTTTCGCGGGTCTTTTTCTCCCGAGACATTTCGAATATTGAACTCATGAGTGATAGAGATAATGTTCTCGCTCTTCTCAACAGAAATACGTCTAGAAAGTCATCCTCAGATTTGCAACATTACGCCCTACTACGTCGAGAAGGTTGGAAGGTGACACAGTCATCTAGCGATCTCAACGAACTTTTCGGCGATGGAACCTCAGACAGCCAAATAATTAGTGGGATTTATTCCGTCATTTTCACCCAAAGGAATTCCTATGGATTATAACGTCAATCACTCGTTAAAAAGTTCGCTAGGCAACAGAACTTACGACGACGTGAATGGCCTCATGGCCGATGTCAAGGCGTCCAAATTCGAAACTTCTCCGCTACGCCTCAAGAAACCTAACAAGTGGAAAGCAGTGCTCGACGTAGATGGTGGATGCGTTCTGTAGTAACTATTTGAGCATGTCTTTGTTCGTAATTTTCTTTTAAATGAAAATTTGTTGGAAAAAATCAGCAATAATTATGCATCAACCTTATATTTCACCAACATTTGTACTCGAATTTCACCGTTAGCACTCATTCCTGCGACTGAAATGAGGGATTATTCGATATCGAAGCATCGATGATTAGCGGTCCGTCGGCCAACAAAATAGCATCGAGTACGTCCATCTTGTTTCTCGCTTTCTCTTCGCTGCACCCACGGTGAACAGAAGCCACGTATTTTCCTGAAAAAGAGCTGCTGCAAAATCGAGTTGTCCAACAAGTAACAAGTTGGCCTACCGAAGCATTAATACTTATCATTCTCACACTCCATCATGCGACTTAAAGCTTCTTTCAATATCGCCGAAGCCCCTGAATCTGTAATATCCAAACCGCAGCCATCCACATTGCCTGGATAAAGCAGCATACCATTATCGGAGCTCTTTCTTTTTTTGCTTATGCGTGGTTGGACTAGGACTTCCATAATCGCTCAAACTGCTGCAAGACGAGTTGACTGAAGAGTAGGTACTCGCCACCGATGACTCACAGCCAGAAGGCTCATCCCACGATTGCCGGAAGTTGCCCTGCTCGTCTATATTCGAGATTGTGGTCTTAGAATGAAATAGTTGCTGACAACTAGAGAAACCATTCCAATATCTATCTATGGAAAATACCCTGTGTACTCCGCGCTTTCCAAAAAAATTTTGGCATCTTCAAATATCCAATGCGACATGGCGGACGCCCCTGATTCCTTCTTAGCCCTCCGCCTCTTCCAATGGTCTGGAAGGCTTCTCCATATGCTCTTTATGTCTGTTACTAAAACATCTAGCATGAATGTAGCTTGTGCGATGACGGAATTAGAGACGACCAAACAAATGTGGATGTCACGGTGAAACCATCGCTTCCCAAAACTAGGAAAATCCTTTCCCACGCGCTTTCTTTGTGGTCCTTCATTCTGTAGAATTCGTAGCTGAGGTTCCAGATACACATTTTATCTTCGATCAACTTAATTAACCGTGGTCGCGCATCCTCTGAAAAATGCTGTCTTTTGTAAATATTCCTTGTTGTTTCAAGTTGTTTGTTGATGTTATGTGTTTCATGTTTCAATGTTCAAATAAAAACTTGAAAAACCATCAACACGCATACAAAGATTCCTGCCGAAATTATTATGTTAGCGGAGCAGCGCAGATGTCCAGTTTTTATTTGTGTATGACACTGTACTAGAAGAAGTGAGTTACTGGCGAGTGGCGCACTACCACCCACGCATGGTCGCTCGTTCAATCCTGGATCGATATCCGCCTAGGCCAACCAAGCCTTCCATTCCTTCGAGATGACTTAATTTGTACTGGACTCGTGTGGGAGGGTAAAAGCACCGACTTGTACAACAGCTGGTACACAACTGAAATTTATTCCATACAATCTTACGCCCGTCATCCCCATCCCACTCAAAGGAGAATGACAAAAGAAATTCATCATGTGTACAATGCATTCACAATGAATAAAGAACAAGAAGATCTGACCATAGAAAGAATGAAGAACAAAAATATAAAGAGGGGAATCCACTCAAAAAAAAAAAGACTTTGCTCATATGTCCTTCGCGCTCGTGAGCTTTTCTGATGCTGCCACATGACACGTCCGATAATATCAAAGCCTGAAAGTAGCACGATCAGAGGGCAGAAAAATACTCGGCGCACACATCATCAACGGCAAACATTAAAAATATCGGCTGTTCACTGTAACATCAAGGTCGTGCTGTTCAATGCTAGCGCTTATGCAGAAAAAGTGCAAAACGTGGAAAAGAAGAGATGACAAAAAAGAACAGAAAAAANAAAAAACAGAAAGACCAACGAAAAGACAGCAGAATTACAAACGCTTTGACGCTTATTCGTTCAAAACTTTTTCCCGTGAAATTTGGGAACAAGTGCATATTTCACCCTCCCCTCCCCAGCACTATTCGACTGCAAACAGCAACATCCACATAACTAAGAGCGAGGGTTTGTGCGATAGTAGACTTAGTTATAAGCAAAGTTATGGATGTCTGCAATTTTTCGCACCTTATGTGCGTTTTTCTTCTCTACTGAGTTCGTCATTAGTGCTCGTATACTCTAGACATGGCAAAAAGGAAAGAGATTCGAAAAGGGTCATCATCTGTATCTTCAGGTGATTTTGAGTTCAAGCTCTTTAGAATATCTGGAACACGATCAGATTGCAGTTCAATAGTGGTAAATCTTCACAACTCGCCCATGCTACACATACTGAAATTTCGGAGGATTCGATCCACTACGAAAGGAGTTCGACGGGAAAGTGCGGCTGAAGAAGCATTTGACCGAGGACTTTCGAGCGCTATTGTAAGTCGAAGGCAGCTTTCACGAAGGAAATTCACGAATAAAAATAAACGAATATAAACACGAAAAAACTACAAAGCAAGAAAAACCGAAAAAACTGCGACCGACGCTCGAAATGCACAAAAACTAGTCATCCTCGATTCGCGGTATCGATCGGTACCCACTGCTGTCACACACTTGAATAGCGCAATCGCATAGCCGCTCGCACGCGCGCACGAAAATGTACCTGCGTTTCCACCTGCGTGCCGGCACGAACCTCGAAGTATGGTAGCAGCCAGATACACATTGTTCTGAACAATACACACTACTGCATCTACATATTGATTGCTATGATCAAGTGAAAAAGAAATAAACAATAGAGTGAACGAGCAAAAATCACTCAGCACCCTTGCTTCTCAAATTTACGCGCTAAATAAACATAAGCAGCACAATACTTGTGCAAACATATAAACGTTATGATACTTACATTGAACATCACGATATCTAGGGATTTATTGCTGAACACTTTGGAAGAAAAAGAGTAATATATGAAACTTTACAAATTTAGCCCACCACACTACCATTTCCGAGGAAATGCATGGCAATATGGGGTTTAACTGCATAAATTCTTCAGACCAAAGTAAAAGAGTGTTTTTAGCATTGTACAAGAACACATCAATGACTCAGTTTGAAGAAAATGCAATTCAAAAGATGTTGCACTAGTACAATATTTATTGTACATGGACAGCCATAGAGCTCCTGGAATAAAAAATATTTACATGCAATATTTTACTCGAAATATCTTACACGAAATTACTCGAAATTTCAGTAAACTGAGGGAAGCTCAAGAATGCTATCATGCACACTCTATGAAAAAAAACAATCAATAGGCGCATGAAAAAATTTGATTTTAATCATCACAGCATAACCGTCGCTTCATGCAAAAGTAATTTTCCAATTCAAATACATGAAATAGTGACCTGATCGTTTCGATGGCGGCCAAGAATAATTAATTAGAATAGAGTAGAATATTAGCCGGATAGCGGGAATACAGCCGAATACTACATGCTACCAGTAGGAGGCGGGCGATCAGCTGATGGATTTTTCACTAAAGTCGTTCCAATGCGAAAGTGGTGAACGACAATTAGATTTCGGAGACAGCTTAGCGAGGGGCGGGGCTCCCCGTGCCACACTATCTGGCCCCTTATTGTGCCCTATCCAGAACGTTTTTCTACCTCATTTCGGCACATATGGTAACAGTGGGGGCCTCGAATTCATTCCATGTAAAAATCTCCGAAACCATTTTTATCGTGAACTGTGCCTTTGATTTTGTACCGATGATTACCATAGTATGTGACTACTGAGTTATGAAGAAAGCCAACTTTCATTAGGTGCAACCGATTACTGAGTGCACATGAAGAAGTATAAAGTTATTGATACCGTTCTATGGATAAAAGCAATGCTAATAAAAATTAGCAGCCATTGTTTTTGCAAGATGTGCCAATTATGAATATAGTGTAGATGAAATGACAGCGAGTTAAGCGTAACAAAAAGAAAGGGCAAAGCGAGTTGAGCGTAAAATGGGGCGAAGAATCTTGCTTCATATATTAGAAAGGGTTTCCGGCAGCTTGAGAAAAAAACTCCAAAATTTCTAATGTCGGTAGGAATAGTTGGTCGTGCTCCAACAACAAGCACAACAAGAACTCAGCTTCCTCATTGTCACATTATAGGAATTATGTGCTATCGGGGCGAAGTATACTTCGTAGTGGATCTACACCAGTCGAGAAGGTATTAGGCGGCATGTTTTGCCTTGGAGCAGAAAGGTCAGTTTTGGCTATCGAACTTCTCCCCGACTGATTCATATTGATTGGTAGGCCACTGAATGTTTTGCCTTGGAGCAGAATTATGTGATGGACCATTTTTCCCTTCTAGGAGCTTTAATATCATTTACTATGTACAGTCCTTGCACACTGCGGCTACATATAAGTACTTTAAAGAACTGTCATGGTGCTTAAAATATAATTATGACTCAAATGATTGATAGTGTACAACCATCTCTTTTCGTAATTGCTTTTACATTAGACACATAACACACAAGAGTGGTTTATTACGCACAATGGCAAGGTTATACAATTGCCCGGAGTTCATGCCCTACTGCTGATATTCAGAACACCACTAAACTAATCGTAAAATAAGAACGTTCACTGAATGGCACGTTTTCATCACATTTCCTTGAATCACTTCGCAAAACGTCAAAATTAAACGATAGTAAAATGTTGATGGCGAGTCCCGCAACGAGATAAATACAAACAGTGGGCAGCTGGCGAAAAAATTCGCCTTGCATTGTTGAGGGTGTAGGTTCATGCGACTGTTTGAAAGGCAGGTGAATGCGCTCTGGATTAGGTCAACAAATCAGCAAACTCATCCGCAGTGAGCTGAATGCTCTCGATTTTCTTGCATAAAGTCATAACCCACCACAGCTATTCCCAGACTCCTCAAGGTCGCAGCTCAGATCAAGGAACTCACGTATGTTTGATGCGTTCTTATTGTTACGCACGCGTGAGTGTGCGGTGCCCTACTGATTTGGGCATACCATGGTTCATTCTTCTCTACACTTTTCTCCTTGACCGTTTCTGAGATCACTCCTTGGGATAAAGCCGCGGTCCTCCGAGCACAGCCCCATCGTCGAATCGAAAAACGACCCCTACAGGGCGGTGTTAGAGCTTTAAACTAATTTGGCCACCTTACCTAAAATTGGCCGTAGTATGAAGAAACAATTAAGGCTGCATCATTCACAATGAAGCGTGAGGATAGTATGTTCATGTGTGAAAACCTCTATATCCACAGACGCATAATCTCATGCAATATCCCTTCTCACTACTTCTTTGGAGCTTTATATTACCTAAAGGCACAGTTCACGATGAAAAAGTTTCTAGGCTTTTCCCCTAAGTTTACCCAGTGGCCCTCGAGAGCAAACACAGGACGCTGTCGGGCTTGAAAACTTAATAGATAGGGCATGATAAAAGCCTAGTTACCGGATTCGTCGACGTCCACGCCCATCGGCCGATGACATGTCAGGAGGGTTGCCGAGGCGATACAGGTCGCGCTATTCGTGCCAGCAATCACACGTTCAGCACCCAACTAGCTGATCGCCGAGTGGTAAAGAGATGTCTTATTTCGATGCTGTTACTACTCGCTATACTTTCTGCTGCTGCAGTCATTCTTTCTGCATGTTTAGCTGCAGCAGACTATCTACAATGCAGAACAATAATAGAAGATGAAATTCGATTCAGCGGCAATATATTCAGTTGTACGCAATTGCACACACTGCAGACAACTCGCCCAATCGTAGACGGGTATGGGTACTTACGTGCGTCCGAGGATGGGCGCGGCAAATTGCGCGGCGAAGTGCGTGGTGATTCAAACGACTATGGCGCCTATCATTGGGGTCCAAACTCGAAGTAGAGTAGTTTAGTAGGGACTGCTGATACAGATAATCTACTCTACTTCAAATTTGGGCCCCAATGGTAGGCGGCAGAGTCGTTCGAATCCCCACGCACTTTGCCGCGCGCATCCTCGGACGCACTTTGCCGCGCGCATCCTCGGACGCACTTTGCCGCGCGCATCCACGGACGCACGTAAGTTCCGTCCCCCATCGTAGACGGGTATGGGTATATACGTGCCTGCGAGGATGCGCGGGCAAATTGTGCGGCGAAGTGCGTGGTGATTCGAACGATTCTGGCACCTATCGTTTGGGCCCAAATTTGAAATGCAGCAGATTATCAGGGTCAGCTGGTACTACTAATCTACTCTACTTCAAATTTGGACCCTAATGATAGGCGCCAGAGTCATTCTAATCACCACTCGCCGCGCAATTTGCCGCGCGCATCCTCGGACGCACGTAAGTTCCGTCCCCAATCGGGGACTGCGCCTTTACCACCCGAAGATGTTCGCGCTTTTCTCGCCATTTCTGCATTATTCTGCATCGTAACTTTCATTATTCCACTACCGTAGTTATATAGCTCAGAATGGTTGTGAACTGTGCGTTTAAGCACCTACCGTCCGTAAAGGACCACGTTTCTATCACCCCAGAAAAGGCTGGGGAAGATTGGCTCCTATTTGAAACCAGTCGATCGAATGAATATGGACGTTTTGAAAACAAACCAAGGAAACCTCCAAGATGGGTGGCGCTTCCGAAATCTCTCCGAGTTGATGAATTAGTTGTTAATTCACTTTGATTACCATGACTTACGGGATTCAAATTAAATACTAAACCGTTCAATCAGTACTTTCGTCAGCTAAGGGCGGTACTTGGTCGAATTGCATTAGGCTGAGTTTAAATCACGAACTGCATGTGCTTGCGAGGCCTCTTTATTTCAGGAGGAGAACCCTTAACATTCTATTCAACAGCGAGTTATTATTTGATTGTTTTCTGATATGCTAAATTCTCCTTTAGCTAGATCGAACAGATCTCGCGAGCATGCATGTGAATGCCCTTATAGCGCGCGATTGGGTGCGAAGGGGGACGGTAAATTCGTGTGATTCGGATTGCGCGCTGCAAATTGCGCGACGAAATCCATAACTATTTTGACTTTGGCGCTTATTATTGAGGCCCAACTTTCAAGTAGAAAAGACTAGTAGTATCAGCTGACTCTACTTAACTATTCTATTTCGAGTTTGTGCCCCAATAGTAGGCGCCAGAGCCATTCGAAACACCACGAACTTCGATGAGGAACTTGCCGCGCACGGCTCGAATCGCACGAATGTACACACACCCGGTGCGAAGACCGCGACGCAACTTTGGGAGAAGCACTCACACCCTTTTTTTTCAGAAGCTAACAATCATAGTAATGCAAACAAACATGTAGCAAAATGGTACAGAAAACTTTTATTCTTTTAAATTACAAATTGACCCGAAAGAAGCATAACCGATTATCACAGCAGAAAATTTGTTGGACGCCATGCGACTGAGCTGCTCGTAAGTAAAGCGATTGAGATCAAGCATCGAGGAGGAAGGAAAACTAATTCTAAGCTCGTTGTCTACTTCTTCATCGAAAAATTCAGTATCACTGTTCAAAACATTTCCCTTCAGTTGAAACCCTGAGAAGTGGATCGATGACCAAATTCCGGTACTGTTTTGAAGCAGTAGCATTCAAGCAAGCGCATCGCTGTTGGTTTCAGTTGTTTTTTCATTTGTGGGCTGAAAGTAAAACTTCTGTTATCATGTATAGGAAATTGAGTTATGTTGTCGTACATAGTAATCTGGAAACGTCGAAGGCACAGTTCACGATAACTTTATGGGACCTGTTCCAGATGAATAATGGAGATTGTAGTCAGAATAGTACAAAATGACCATAAAAACGCGAAAATCTTTGTATTTAGACTGTAGGCTTCAAAAAATACTAAAATGAAGGGTTGGTCGAGAATGTGGCGACAAAAGTTGTATGGAAGGGGTATCTGGACGAGCTGTGTGAATGTGTGTGCCACTGCACACAGCTGGCTGCATTAAACATCCTGCGTGCAAAGGGTGCGTCCCGATGCGAATGGTGCAACCTCCACAGCCTCAGTGAACCCGTAACAACTCGTCCGCGTTTGGGTGTGTACGTCGGCTAAGCAGGTCCGGGGCCCTCATTACGTCCTATTCAGGCGGGTTTTCGGCCCGACAACGTCCCTAATGCTATCCTTGTGGGTCACAGGTTCATTATAGGAGGTTATCTCAAAAACCATTCCTATTGTGAATTGTGAATTGTGCCTTCGAAATGGTGGAAAAAATCTACCTCCAGAAGATGTACATGTAGAATAGAACAGCGTGATGAAGATAGTAGATCAGATAGGAGAAGTAATGAAGAAAATGGAATATCTGCGTTTGTGGCTCGAAAATGTACTGAATAATCCTAACCATGTAGCTGGGTACGTTCAGCAAAACGAAAGTACTGAAATAAACAGATTCTTGGTAATTAACGAAGTCCACAAATTTCGCTGAATAAATACCTCCAGCGTTGTAACTCTTGCGCTCACCTGGTCACAATGAGAAGTGTTCGACTGAGTTGCAGATCGGATGAACGAAGTTTTCCACATGTCGACCGATTTGATTGTGTCGACATGTGGCTGTTGGTGTGCGTTTGGCTCAGAAGCAGTTTCTTCGCCGTCGTTTCCTCCTGAAAGTTGGTCCCTGTCATTTACTAGCATTATTCGGTAGGGTGTGTATATAAGGCTGATAATGATGGAAAGCACAAATGCTCAGTATGTGTTGTAAGTGAAAGCATCGACATGACTATGTCAAATGTCAAATGCAGGGGGGGGGGGGGGGGGGGGNGTAAATACACTGCGCGATCCATTTCGACGCCACTATTCTGATTAGATGGGGAGTGCGTAGAGACCACCCCGAACGATAGTCCTTCAGGGACAGGAGAGTCGCATTTTTTTCAGCATTTTTCTTTCTTTTTCTGTACCCTTGCCGATTAATCAAAGCCTTAACAGGCACCGGAATGAATCAAATGTTTAGGCATAAGCAGAAGAGCGATAAAAAGCCTTACATATGGGATAGGATTGCCGTTAGACGCACGGTCGAATCGGACTCGTAGCACTCCGGACGAGTAGATGCGCATACATTGACGATATCGGTAAATGGACAGCGTGTTGACGAACATAATCAAAATTGCTGGCAACAGCGTACAGATTGCGGTGTCCAAGAGTGTGAATAGAAAATAATGATCGGCCACCGGATAGCTGTAATGTGGCATATAACATGCGATTCACAACAGTCTACAAAACTTGGGTATTGATCAGTGGGCATAGGGTGCCTAATGCACAGTGTACTTACACGGCAATATCCGTAACCGGNGGGGTGTGGGGTGTGTGGGACGATTGCCGAGAAGTATAGAGCATTTAACTTGCTGGCTTATTTAGCATATGTAGAGAGACATTTATCGCAGAAACATAGCAGAAACAAAGCATTCTTCAAGTCAAGAGCGATGAGACTGATGCGGGTCTCTGTCACATCAGGTATAACTGCCTGGGGAACTAACATAAACGTACTTTCTCTGATCCGAAAATGCTCTTTCTGAAAGCGCACACTCAAGGATCTCCCTAGGCAAAGACAGATGCGGGTTCCGGGAAATGAGTACTCCACATTTTCTAGATCTTTATGGGTACATACTTGTGAAGCACCTACAGTGGCCTAGAAATTTATGTATTACTTAAAGTTGTTGAGCCGATGTCGGACAGCAGCAGCAACAAAGAGACCCATCCAGCACATTGTGCGAAGGTGACATAAAAGAGGCATGCAGGTTTATTTTAAATGAACTTACCCAAATACTTGAGCCTTACTGCTAAGGCCACAGAATAAATCATCTTTATACTCTTCAAGACCGGCGAACATGAATACCCAACTATAAAAAACTATTGAAGTTAGCAGTGTGCAAATCATCCAATTCCGTGCAAATCGTTTTGTGCACACCCATTTACGGAAACCTGAAAAAATAAAAATTTTTGCAACCTCAGAAGCATATTATCGTCTTCTGTGACTCTACCTTTGCAAAGCCACAATGATCAGAAGTCACTAGAATTTAAATTCACGTTTTTCACAATTAACCTATATATACCAATAGGAGTGCACCTTCTGGTTTGCCCGCTCGGTGTTTAGGGAGGTCAGCAAATTTTTTTAGGTAGGCAAATAAAAAGCAAAGTAGGGTTTTCGTACAACTGGTCCAAAAGCACTGGGTATAAAATCCTTTTCTGGGTTGACGGAGATTCCATGTTTTTCTTGTGCGCTTTCCAGAACTTTCAGTATTTTCATAAACAACAACAAAAAACAATCATCAACGAAGATCAAAAAAGATGTGCTGCACATCTTTCTGAGGGCATTCTGCTTTCTTCACGATAAGCGATTATCCAGGAACCGATCCGTAAAAATTACGGCTTCTTAACTTTTATGTACTAACCCCCTATGGACCCCCTCTTAACCCCCTCACGTAAACGAGCACTTCGGCAACAACTGTCACGAGTAGAGAGGTCCCTGAACTAATTCTCGCTGTCATACCTGGTCGATACAGGACTACCATTCGATCGCATGATATCCACGAAATCATCCATACACAATTGAAATCGGATAGATGTGCCAAGAACGTAAAAACTTTACATCCAATATCGGAATCCATATAAATGTGGAGTCGATAGGCCGAATCGAGCCACGAAACAATCAACTGCAACATTTTATTTGTTAAAAGATTTTAGGGACAAGGCAGACTTCAGTTCTTAGAACCGAATCGCTTTTAAAGATGATATTCCATAGCAACGGATCTCAGGCCAGACAAGCAAATGGCAGAATACGCTGAAAAGCCTCTGCTTTCAGTCATAACTCTTGCGTGAATCCAGAATTACTGTATATGTGCGAGAACTGAACGTCTACTGTTGACTGTACCGATCTTAACCAATCGCGTGCCCGGAGTACTGTATAAATGCAAGAACTAAAGGTCTACTATAGACTGTACTGACCATAACCAATCAAAGGCAACCGCCCACATTCCCAAAAGTACAGGTGACATCATGAATATAGAACTACCGTAATTGCATCCCTATTACGAATATTCCTCATGAGGAGGAAGAAGCTATCATTAGAATGCGACTCATAAAGTTAATAGAATACGCGGAAATCAGTCTTTGACAGTCACTGGGAGAGTAAAAACCAATCTACTCACCGTAAACAGGAACACACAGCTGGATATTGATAATGTACACAGATACACGTTTGATGTGAGCCGCCGAAGCCAGAAATTCGTCCTGAAATGGGACAGTTCTCGTGGTTAGGCTTACATTTGCTTCGGTTTAATATTTTGAGGAATGATATAGAACTGCTGATGTACACTGCTAGAGCGTCATTGGTGGCTCTGGATGCTCGGTTGACTACTGGCCTTACCGGTACCCTCACTTGACTACATAGCACTTCATATCATTAAAAAAATACGTGAAACGTGAAAGAGGCAGTTAGATGCTTGGGAAAGAGTCCGCGAGTTAAACGGACCAAAATAGGGAAAAGAATTTGATGAGGAATTTGTCAGCTCTTTAGTCAGATGCCTTATTTCATGCTCCTAGTGATATTGACTTCTTTACACTACAGGAAAAGTACAGTGCCCCATTCATGACCAGAAACTACTGGCCAGATTTCGCCCTTCACAATGGAGCACATATATTGAATGTTCTAACAACTGGACGTGACCCATGGCGACAGGGGAAGGCATTTCTGGCATTAATGGTTTGCTGTAGTCAGCTTTACGCAGCAGTACACAACTGGTATTCATCCAAATACCCCTTCTATGTCGTCATAAGCTCGTAACATAATTTAACTATTTTTTTGAAACTTTTGTCTTGAAATCCTCCGATTTCCGCATTTTCCTAGCTACTTTTGCCCTATTCTTCACCGTAACCTCCACTAATACCCTTAGACTAGGTATCTCTTAATATCGTGTAAACTGTGCTTTATAAAGACTATGGTCTGAATGGTTAACAAGCACTATTCATAAACATGTGTGCGCAAGAGACGAAACAAGCAAGCGCTTTTCTGTCTTCTTTTTTTCGTACCCATGAAATATCAAGTTCTGACCTCATCCTGTGGCTTTTTTCTTTTCCCGGTAGAGCATTTATTTTTAGAGCGTTTAAAGTATGTTCATGCGTCATTAACATATGCGGAAGGGCAGGTAAATACGAATTAAAGCAGTACATATAAAAATAAGTCGTGAATTTTTTGTGCTGTGATTACGAGAACCCAATTTCCAGATTTATACTGAATTTTACTATAATTTTAGAGTGGATATAAGGCGAAAATAGTCATCACAGTCTTGGTTATGGTGAAAGGTTTAGGCCCCAACCGTCCCTAGTTCCTGAGCTATCAATACACGCTCCTCGAGCTTTTTCGGTTATTTCAAATATTTTTGCCGAATCCGAATAAAGTCTCCAGTTGCATATTGTAATTTTCTGAATCCCTACTGCTCCCTCATTACTTGCTTCACTCCACAGTCTCTCCTTCCTTCCTCCACCTCTCTTAAACCAATGTCTACTTGGAAGGCCTGCATGACATAGAATTCGCCATGGCATCACAAGGATTAAATCGGCGAATTGAGTCCCATAAAAAAGTCCCCAAACCTCACGTACATAAATATTAAGGGAGATTTGAAGGTATTAATGACACACAGCACTTCCAGCATCCATTTTTCTATTTTCTCTGTCTTTTAGTGTCTTTATTTCTCTCGACTTCGAACTAATCCCTCACTCAAGTCCTTTTTTGATATCGCAAACCCTGTGGCCATGGAAAACGCTCTCGCAGAAATTTGAAGACATTGTGCTGGTAGGAAAAGTCCTTCGAAGTCACATTTACTTTATCTTTCCGATAAAAAGAAAGTAGCCCTGGAAGTTTGGCGAGGCCTTTTTCCGGTGGTACTTTCCTATGACAAAGAAAACTCAGTCAACCGAAGTTTGAAGAAGCTTTTCTGTCTCCGTTGGTTCCATAAACCATAAAGAACCCCCATAAACTCAAGACGAGGACGGAACGATACTCATAAATTCAGGCTTGATAGTGCATTTGTCATTAGGGTATCTATGGATTGTGCGCGGTAATGCACGGCATTAAGTAAGTCCGGGAAGAAGTAACCGAGACGGTCGTTCAAACGACCACATTTACTTCCGCAAAGAAGCTGAGCCACTTAGATAGATGGACCAGCTGAACCAAAAAGAGTCTCCGTTAGACTATTCCCTCCATCTGAGCATACAACAGTTATGATCAAACAGAATCTGCTCATGCTGCTACCCTCTGGAATAGGTATCGCTCAGCTATCCCTTTCGATACAATTGGGTGTTCGGGAAGAATTCGTAGAAAGTTCCACATGAGTCTATATTTTTCTGGAGTGTTCCGGAAGTTCCCGCAGGAAGGCGCTATTCATTTGTAAGCGTATAACATACGCATAATTCATTCTTGATATCGAGGTTGGTCGACAGGTTCATCTTCGACCTTCTTCTTCCCTGCTTTTGACCGTTGGAACGGGCACTTAGAGTGGGCCAATCCTTGGCACATGTTTCGATGGGCTCCTGCAGCAGAAAGGCCGGATTCAGTCCGGCAAAGAAATACAGCTCGATTATGGGAGGATAGTTGAGTCTTTATAGGGGTTAGTAACTAAGGGAGAGGGAGCCGAATATAATACAAGTGGGCAGATTTCCTTTACAGTACAATCCCATGGAAGCTTCCAGACACCCCTGGAAAAATCTGGACTGATTCCCGATTTCCTGCAAATACTTTCAAGCGAACTGATAGGTCATGCAAGTAGCCCTGTGCAACTGGAGGTATGTAAGAGAGTAGGGTCTGAGATGGTATGGACATGCACTTAGGCGACCACCCGACAGGAAAGCAATGAAATTCGATGCCCAACTGTAAGCGTCCAAGAGGGGTCTCAAAGAAGAGTTGGCAGAACGTGATACATCAGAACATCGTGATACATCGTGATACTGTATATGGAACGAAATGGCGACGACTGACAATGTAGGACCTCGCCAGGGCGCAGGATTGAGACCAACTAGGGAGAAGAAGATGTGGTTGGCATTATTCAAACGCTCCATAATCATAAACTTGACGAACTTTTACAGACAGCGTTGTGTGTCGGGCGTTGGTGTGGGAGAATTTCTTTTTGAATGCAAAGAACAAGGTGAATAGGATTAAACCACATGACAAAAATGACATGAGTACAGTGTTTTTCATTGTAATAGACTTCCAGAACTCGATTAGTATCCCCCAGTGCTAAGTAATAGTGACAAGTAGAAAACTAGGTGCCTCAAAACTTTTTGTAATTAATCTTACGCTGAGCCTGCTCGAAGCTCTTTCTAGGCTCTTTTTCCTTACATTCCGTCCCAACAAAGTCGAAAAAAGGAGTTCCCTTCAGAATCAGAACCTACAGACCTCTTTTTTGTGTCTCCCTATTTAGATTGTTCTCAAGATGGTAACGTTCACGGTACTGGTCAGAGTTCGAAAATATGATTTATGGATAGCTTAAAGTTTAATTTTTTGAAAGGTCACTGTTCCCAATTTAGGTACCGAAGCACCTTTTTCTGAACTGCTACACGACAACCCGCAAACTACCATCGAACAGAGTTTTAAGTATCTCAATGTCTTTCCAGATGTTCCGGTCCTCTGGTTTTGTTATTATGTGGCCGGAACGGTCTCTTCAAATGATCCTCTAGGTTCACGAGTCATTTTCTAGTCAGTAACCATCAATAGTCAAGGGGCTGAATCAGTAAACTTCAAAGGCCATGAATTTTAAACTTGGATTAAATATAATAGTTCGAGAAGGTAAAGAAGCCCAAAGTCCACGATCAAACCTGGGAGGGCTTACTTCCTCAGATTCCATTACCACGTTTTCGTGGAACTGTGAACTTCATTAAAGACTCCCAGATCTCTTCAGTAAAGGTCATGGGAACCCAATCCAAAAGATGGAGAAAGTCTTATGAGAAAAATTGAAAATCTTACCGTATTAGGAGCAGTGCCATTGAATTACCGACTATTCCAACAATACATAATAAAGGTAATAGATAGGGAAAATTTTGACGTAACCATACGATCACAGACGATTGTTCAATAAGTTTAAATATTGCATAGATAGAGTTTTCGTCTTCCACCTCTGCTTCCATTGTTGTTACGTTCATAACCTGTAATTCACTCAAAAACCATTTGTGTAAGCAGTAATAATCACCCAATCAACGACCGAAGGAATCACGAAGAACGCCCAAAGCGTATGGAAGCGTACGATACGAGAGCACAAGTAAATCACATAGATGGATTATCGATTGGACAAACAGGAAGGGAAGATGGTTCAGTACGGTAGTGGTAAACAATCAACAAATTCAGCGTTATTCAAATTCAAATACTTCAAACTGCGCAAAGGGTAGAAAACGAGAAATAAAAAAAAACAGCAGTTCTCTTCCACTTACGCTGATGTGTTTCTTAAGCTGAAGCAGAAATGAAAAGTTAGCAGCTCTGAAATGAACGCTCAGAGTATAAACGAGACAGCAGCACCTGAGCATTCGCCTAGTAAAATACATGCGATACATTTGAGAAGCGGAATGTCTCAATGAGTTGTTCCGAGGTTAAATGCAAGTCGGACCTGGATATACTATGGGCTCTGCCGCCTGGCAACCCTTTGAACCCTTTCGCTCTCCTTTCGAAACATCGTTTCGCCCCCTTACAGTAGGAAACCCTAGTCATTTACGTTATCCAAGAGATAAGTCACCTATGTAGCCCAATAGGTTGGACTACCTTTTTCCTTTTGTCCCAGTTTCGGATACTTATACCCCCGGTTTGACCCAAAATCCACACAAATAAATAGAGTACTGCTCTATACTAGAGTGTTTATCTCAGCAAAGCGAAAACTGAAGCTACGTCACTTGGTAATTTGATGAATCGTCCCTAGTAATATTTGGATGGCATAATAACCTAAAACGTAAAAATTATGCTTATAACGACCGTTCTTGAGAAAGAAAATTTTAAATAATAACGAAGAGAGCGTTACATTCCTGTACATTTATCTGAGTAAATGGAATACCGAGAAGGGGTGGAGCGGAGGGCGGGACTGTGAGTCGCTCCACGTACTTTTCATATCTACGTTTCAATGTCCTCAGTATTCTCGGTAGAGATTTCCAAAGTGATTACTAACCTTCTTAATTTCCAAGCAAAAATACCAATTTCAATCGAGGTTTTCTCATGAATGAACTTTCTCGAAGGAAGGGAAGGAAATAGTATCGTATAACAGAGGACGAAAGTGGGTGGATTAGTCATGGCCAGTCATGTAAATGGAAGTGGACTTCTGGGTGTCAAATGGCTCGCACTATTCCCATATTACTAGCGAGTGAAAATAAGGAAAATAAAAATAAAAATTGAAATAGATAGATATTCCAGGGAGTTCCTTATATGACATACGAGGAACTTCAGCATTTCCCCAAGGAGCACTATACAGTAATGAGTCTACCTCCGGACGGTAGAACCATGATGATAAGTGAGATCTTCAAATTTGTTGAACGTTCTCTATTCTGAACAGGGTACTGTAGGGACTGGTCTCGTGGGTGCCACCCAGCGTTCACAACAGTCTCTAAGACTGCTCTTCCCCCTGTAGTGTTTCTGAGCATCGATGGGAAAGACGATTGATGCTTCTGTTCTCGAATGCATGGCCCACCAGATATGCCCACGGGGAAGAGGAAAGCAAAAAATCAAATTTCACATCTAATTAAGTTGCCATGAACTTTTTCACGGACTTCAAGAAAGGTAAACATTCTGGGTGAAACGCTACTCTTCCTTAATTAGCCCAGATTTCTTCTGGAGGGCTTCCAGGCCGAATAATCTCTGAGATAACGAAAAATCAAGGGGAAATTTATTCCTAGTCGATAAAGGGAATGAAACTTTGAGCGTTTGAACTTTCCACGTGCGAGCCGAGAATTCTTCAGGCGTTATGGTTTTTTGGTCGGCTTGGCAATCACGCAGCCGGGAGCACGTGCCCATTTTTTTCTGGCAATGAGTTGACAGCTGGCAGAGCTTTGGTTTGTGTAAGGGCAATAGAAAACCAGAGGATGAATCAGAACGGTCTTTTTTATTTCGAGTGGGTAAGTTGTGGCTGGCGATGATGCCAATTAAAGCTTTCGAGCTATTGGAGAATGGTTAATGCTCTGATCTGTTCGAAGTAGACCGCATAACAATAGTGCGATGCACGTGGTTCCTGCCCGTTCCCATTACTCGAGAGATTAGGAAGCTTTATATGTACATATATTAATGCCGCGTGTTCGGTTAGAAGTTCAGCTCCATCTCTACGTGAGAAGTTCGCCTAGCTTAGTGAGGCTCTGGTTCCAGAGCTCGAAAATCCTTAGGGCCTTACTTCGTCACCCCACTAAAGCTATCACACCTCGCTCGCTGGAAGCTGACGAAAGCCGACCGGGCACTTTTCTTCGAAAACGAAGCCTGACATTACGGTTACGGCACTAGCGAAGTCCCGTTCCCATTTAAATGAGAACAAAATCACCTGGCTCTCCAAGCCAGTTAATATAATGTTGTGATTCAAACCGAACTAGTTGGGACTGCCGAGTTGCAGAAAGGAACGGAAAGATTGTCCAGAACAAGGTTCAACAGCAGTGATATTCTTCCATGGGACCCTCCATGCCTGTCGTCATGGGCAAACCTGAGAACCTCAGGACTGGATAGGATGCAGGGTGGTCTGTGAGAGCTCCAACCCGCTATGCCTCTCGTCATGGGCAAACCTGAGAACCTTAGGATTTAATAGGAGGCAGGGTGGTCTGTGAGAGCTCCAAGTGTTTTTATGAGTGCGTGGGGAACTGCGCATGTAGGTAATCTTGTGCTAACAAGACGGTGCTCTGCCAATCCACACCCTGAATGATATCTACCATCGCCTCTTGAGACATCACACCACCTCCGTAACACGTGTAGAGGTCTACGCCACCTTTACATGTGAGGCCGCATCGTTGTGGTGTCTCCCACCCGGGTACCACACAAGGCGGCTAATGTACCATTTTGTTCCATGGAAAAACCTATAACCTCGTCGCCTCTGGGTGAGAGCGGCGTCCCATTTGCCTTCCAGGTTCCCCGCCGACAGGTCCCCTCGATACCTTCCCCATCTCTCGTCTCTTTTGTCGCAGGCCAGTATGTACCTGATGTCAGCCGGTGTAAAAAGTAAGAATGTGAAAACCTTGGATTGATACCTGAATACCCTTTTAATCCTCAAACAGATGGAAGCCAATTTAGCGCTCATCTGCTTTGACGATTAAAAGGTCATGTGGTTTGGAGGAAGAAAAATGAAATGAGTTTAGGGTATTTTAAGTCTTCTCATATCACATCGTTTCCCCACGATTAAGCTTTCCGAAAAAAATTGTCTCATGGGGTAAGGGAGAGGGCACCGATTTTTTTCAAGCCACCTAATGTACTATAGCATTTTGAGCTCCAGTCCCCTTTCAGAAGAACGTGTATCGCGATGTTCACTACTGAATTCTGCACGTTCGCACCCCTTCTCATTACTTCTCTCGGCTTTCTAAGTTCTCGGAAGGCTAGAGCGGAGAATGGGGAAAAAAAGGAAAAGAAGGTACCTTTTAATGATTAATTCAATCTGATTAATGAATCTAATTAGCGATTTACAATCTGGTACTTATTCAGTAAGTACAACCTTCGTTTACGGAATGACATGCGCGAGCTTAATTCAGTCATAGCATTTATAAAATTCATTAGAATCCCTTTATCTGTAATGACCGTGTAAAACCTCCCACATAAAGCTTCCCACGCGAGCTTGTTTTTGATACCTCTCACTTTCGTTTACTAAGCAGAATTATTGGAGTGTTCATCTGCTTCTGGTAATGACAGCCGATCTTTTTTCGGGTCGATTTTCCTCCCGCTTTTTTGTGCTGGAAGTATTGAATTTGATATTAGACGGAAAAATGGGAACGTGAAACCGAAAAAAGTTAATGTATTCGAATAAGTTAAGTTCGGCCACCCGTCCCACATCAGAAATGTTAAGCGTCAGGCACAGAAAAAGCCAGTATACTTCACTCTTTCGACGACGGGAGGTCCATTTGGCATAGAAAAACCACTTGAATGTCTCCCGTGCTCACATAACGAATTTCGTGGAATAGACGACTTTCGGACAGAATGCTCTTCAACTAAAACCATTACTGAATTCCTGCAAAGTTTATGAGAATCCTACCGTAGACAGGAACGTCATCGGGGGTTTGATTGCTGGATCGGGTATCTTCCTGTTCTTGTAAGATACTCAAGCTCGATTCATGTCCTTTGCACTTTCGATGATGAATATATTCTGACTTGGCTGCTACAGTATCCTGGAACTTCATCAGAGCACTTTTTGGCTTGATTATTGTTAATATGAGGTTGACTGTGTGGTGGCAAGTGGCGCACTATCACACATGTAAGGTTACGAGTTCGAATCCAATCAACATCCACCTAGGCCAACCAACCCTTCCATCCCTCCGAGGTCGCTTGATTGGTACAAGGCTTGTCTTGGAAGATCAAAAGCCCAGTAAAGCTCTGGATCTGAATTTACATCGGCTGACTACCGCAAGTGATTGTATAGGCCACATATGCATTCAATAGGGCACTACGATTTTGAATGGAAGTCGAATGGGGAGCGCATCCATCGGACGGTATTGGTTAATATCAAAAGACTTTGTCCCTTATTAGGCTTACTGTAATCAAAAGAGTTTTTTGAGAATAGCCCATTAACCCATTGACGACCGCGTGGCCCGCCGGCGGGCCACACCATATCGTGCCCGTGTAGTATTTATATTATTTATCAAGTGTTCCTATAATTCTTTTCATGTTCTCAAATATCAGCTTAGCTCACAACCTTCTAGAGAATCTTGAGGCATCGTGGTCTAGGAATCATTCACTTCCAACTTTAGTTATAAGAGAAATTGAAAGTTAATGTAAGGGCAATGTNTTTTTGAAGTTGTTGAACGAACGAGAAATTCACCAAGGTAATGTACTCCTTCGAAAAAATCACTTTTACAATTTCAAAATTAGAAGATTTTCTAGGACCACGCTGTATGATGTTTCATTTAAGCCTGATGTAATGTTTTGAGAAGAAGAATTGGAAGAAAGTAGAAAGTAAGATGAATAAAACAAAAAATACAACTGCAGTCTA